TCTATAAACATGACAAAAATTTTATAGGATAACTCTTTTAATATGAGATAAGAAATGATTGGATTCCATACTTTACATCATCAACTGTATCACTAACATAAAGAACCATTCAAGTTAATCAACCAATGTATTTTTTAAAACTCTAGAAAGCTTATAAATAGTTTTCCGATCGTAATCTAAAAAGACTTTCTTCTTTACTTCTAGGTACACATACAAATACAACACAATTTCCAATATCAGTATTTAAATAAAGTCATGAAATCAAAACTATGAACAATTGATTCAATATCAAGATTATCATGAACAAGTGATCGATCTATTCACTTAACTAAATTAGTTGCTAATCTAATCATTTACAACTTTCTTCCTTTATCAATAGTTGAAAGTCCTCATCTACAAGTAATTCTTGAAGAAGCTGAACTATCTTATGTTATTTCAAAATGAAAATATTTTACTAATAAATTTTTTCAGGAAATGCATAATGAGGTTCAACAGAAAGTTTACGAAGAATTACAACAGGCACTCAGTAATACATTCTATATTTAAGATAATCTACAGATTGTCTTTTTCTAATGTTTTAGATATCTATTTAACAACAGATATTTGGACTTCTCAAGCTAATCAAGCTTATATGACAATTACAGCACATTTTATTGATTTGAAGAATAATAAAATAAAAAATGTTGTATTAGTAAGAAGAGAACTTATAAGAAATCATACAATTGAATGCATTGTAGAATGATTAGAAAATACTTGTAGTACATGGTCAATCGGTGAGAAAATCATTTGTTTACTATTTGATACTTGTCCTACTATGAGAAAAGTAGGAATTGAATTTGGAAATAATTTGATTTTACTTATAATTTTAGACTTGTAATAGTTATTGATTTATATATAGAATGGATTGGCTGTGTCGATCATCTTATTAGTTTATCTACTAATGATATTGTTCGAAAGGCAAGATGAAATGAAAAATATATTTTCGATAATTTGATACATCGTCTTATGTACTAGAGATGGTCATTTAGCAAATGAAATATTAAATAAATAGCAAGGATCGTTTGGTTAAAAGAAGAAACTGAGATTTTATTTTGTTTTTTAACAGTTACGAAATTGAATCATTGTAGGTTATATTAAATGTCAATTGATTATTGATGTTATAACTTGGTAGAAAAGTACTTTCTATATGCTCCAAAGGTTTATTCAAGAAAAAATTTGTTTGACAACATGTTTAAATGAAAACCTGTTTCAAAAACATCTGACCACTGCTAAATTTTCGAAAGTAATAGAGTGAGATGTTTTAGAACAATTAATGGTAAGATGCTATTGAAATGTAAACTATATAAATTTTTTGTTGAATTTTAGGTTATATTAGAACATTTTGGAGCAGCTACACGAAAACTAGCATCTGATTCTTCACCAATATTATCAATTATTTTATCTGTTCTTACAATTTTAATTACAAGTCTCGAAGATCGATCTACTGATTCTTCTCTTTTAAAGAAAATAAAACATATACTTAGGGCATACCAAAAGTAGTGGCGCCCGCATCTCAATTTCTTATAGAAGGCTTGAGTAAATTTTCTTTTTTTATGAGGTGATAGAGAAAACGAAGCTCTATTTTTCTGTGCTATTTCATCTCTATTTAACTGGTATTATAATAATAGAATTTCGATAAGAACTGTTTTTGCGTAAAACTCCACTAATCCATTAGTACGCTTTCTATTCCAATTTCTAATCATTTAATACGTTATACTTAAAAACAAAAGATACCAAAAGATGCAGCGTGAAAGGCTCTACAATTTATAAAGAACAGTTTATTTTGTATTTGAAATACGTAAAAAGAAATTTCTCTTTGGATGATTTTTTTCGGGCAACGAAGATTGGTTACACAGAAATTTGTTTTCTTTTGACAAGGCGACATAATTAAAACAAACTTTATTATGTAAATTGTAGAGCTTTTCACGCCGCATCTTGTGATATATTTTGTTTTTTTTAAACAAAGGATATCAAATGACAAAAAGGTGAAATAAGAACAAATGAACTCATCTTACATCAAAAACTATAGTTTTCGCACATTCGAAACTTGATCACTCAAAATTTTGTTCATTTTGAAAACAAAAAGTACAACTATAAAAAAAAGTCATCGTATATAAATTGTAGATCTTTTCACGCTACATCATTTGGTATATTTTGATTTTTAATACAACGTATTAAGCGATTCAAATATTTAATCTGCCTCACGCGTCAGTGAAATTTTACGCAAAAACAGTTCTTATCGAAATTCTATTATTATAATACCAGTTAAATAGAGATGAACTACCACAGAAAAACAGAGCTTCGTTTTCTCTATCACCTCATAAAAAAAGAAAATTTACTCAAGCCTTCTATAAGAAACTGAGATGCGGGCGCCACTACTTTTGGTATGCCCTAAGTATTTCATGGTAGTATTGAGGAACAGTTCAAAAAAATATACAATAATAAATTAGTATGTAGAAAAACAAACAGATAAATATTATATGATAAAGTTTTTTTTTAGGTACTATTATGTACAGTATTATATCCACATTGGAAA